TTCCAGGCCTGGCTTCCACCCTGCGCTCAGATGCTCACTGTGTCCCGAGGTTGCCTCCCCAGAGAGGCCTCCCGGTCCCCTGGGTGAGGCATCTGTCTCCCCCTGTTCTAGCCACACCTTCTCCCACTTTGCATTTCTGCCTAGAATGTGCCTCCCCTTGCAGTGATCGGATGCGACTATTTGTTTACCTGTGAATCGCCTGGCTGCCCCACTAGAATGTAAGCTCTGCAAGGCGGGGCTTCCCTAGCCTGGTGGACACCGCCCGTCCAGCTCACAGAGCAGCCCCTCGGTGTGGGTGCGAGGCAGGGGTGGCACCCTTCGCAGAGGCGCCCTCATGGAGCTCAGCGATGAGGGGCTGCAAGACCAGGACAGACTCGCCCCTGCCAGCAGGCCCAGGGCGCTGTCCACTCTTCCCTGAGGCCACAGGGTGCTCTCATACTGTCAGCCAGGCCTGGAGGAGCCCCAGAAACTGCCTGCCTGTGGGGTGGGGTCCTGATGTAGGAAAGTGACAGGTGATTTGGCTTCTCTTGTCAGGACCCATGGCTAACCTGAGTATAGTTCCTTAAACGCCTTCGTAGCGTGGATTTCGGAAGTAACTCAAGCGGCATTGCTCTCTGCTCCTATTGTGAAATTCTTGAAGCCCTGCAGTTGCTTTTTGCTTTTGGCAAAGGCAGCAGCAGCCCCCAAAGACACCCCCCTCCAAACCCCCCACCTCCGTGTAGATAAGCTGAGGGCTGTGGGGCAATCGGCCTCTGGGCGGGACTTACCAGGAAAGCCTTGCTTCTGTCCTCGGCTTCCTGGTACCTGGGAGTGAAGTGTTCCAGGTGCGGATGGGACCGTGCTGTTTTCCTTCCTCCTTCTGTGGGGCTTGAAGCCTCTCCAGCGATTAAGCAGAATCAAGTGGCATGTTCTTAGGGCACCTGAGTGCCGGATGCTTCTGAAAACATACTGAAGTGAACGCTGGACTCCCTCAGAGATCACAGGGCGGTGGGTGAGAAGCCAGTGTCGCGCCCCCCCCCCCCAGCCCAGGCAGGGTTCAGAGCAGGTTGGACATGCACATGAAGTTAGTTAATTAAGGGGTGACTCGAACTATTGAGCCCCAGAGCCCCAGAATGAAGTTCATGAAATATTAGAGACGTGAGCATGGATGCATGATTCTAGAAAGCGAATGGCATAGCAAGTCCCCATAGGACTCCCCCTCCCTCCCTCTCTCCTCCTTTCCTTCCCTCCTTCCCTCCCTCTCTTCACGCATCTTCCGCATGTCTCCTCCTCCCCCCTGTTTCTCTTTCTCTTCTTCTAAGTAGCCAGGGAGCCACACAGACCCAGGGATAGAGGATGAGCTGCGCTTCAGACTTCAGTCCCATACGGCCGGCAGGCAGCAGGGTCAGTGACAGGCCATCAGCAGAGATGGTTGCCTGCTGGGCTGGACCCAGGGGAGGGCCGTGCACAGGGAGGCTCTGTGTGAGGGGGAACGCGTCTCTTCAGGGCTCACGGGTCTCACTGGGTTGCTGACTCCCTGTGGTGCTCAGGCAGGAAGATCTCAGGAGGAAATCATCTCAGAGCAGCGAGCCCAGGTCCTCGGGCTGTGGAGTCTGGGTCCCTGACAATCTGTCCGTGGCCTCTTTGCTCCCCTGGAAGGAAATAACCACGTGGCCCCAGCCCCATGCCCAGCCTCTGGCCTCCAGGGAGGGGACTGGGGAGGAGGAAGAGATAGATGGTGAGGAGGTCAGGAGAGTGTCCCCCTCTCCAGGACCCACAACCAGTCTTCTCCTCCCAGAGGAGGGGTCAGGCCCGGGTCTCCAGAGCGGACAGTGAGGAGAGAGGGCACAGGACCTACGGCGCCCCCTAACCTGTCCGGGTGCTCTTGGTTTGGCTCAGTGTGGCCTCTGGGCAAGGTGGGTGCCCAAACTTTGTAAACTTTGGTTCGAATTTGTGTGATTCAATAGGTGACTCGGTTTCTAGGTGAACAATTTTTTAGAAAGATCCAAGTTATGGGATTTCATAGAAGAAAGATGGGTGTTTTCCAAAGAAGCTGTGTCAGGTGGAGAGGAAGAGGGAGAGAGGGAGCCACGGGAGGAAGTGGCTCCCTCTAGTGGCCGCAGTGGGAACAGCGTTAAACTGAAGCAGTTACTGCGAAGCGGGTGAGAGGTGCCGAAATGTAGAGGGAGAGTGGCGAAGGCTGGCTTTCTTCTCCTCTTGGGAGCCCCATCTACGCCCCTCCGTGGCTTCCTTGACCACTGGCCCCTGTGCCCTAGCGCCTCTGCTCCACAGTGTCTTTCACAAACACTCCTGTGCATCAGACCCTAAGTGCTTTATCAACAGGAATCCGCTTCATCTGTTCTCCCAACACCCTGGGGAAACTTTCCATCTTGATGCATGGCAAATTTTATGTGTATTTTGCCACAATTAAAAAAAACCATAGCTGCAACATGTGGCCACTTGGGATTCACTATAGGCAAGGCACAATCACACACCATAGGGAGCTTTATTCTGTTTGGGGAGCGAGTCATTCATTCATTCATTGATCCATCCATTCTTTTATCCCATCAATCAATCAATGTTGAGCACCTCCTGGGTACTAGCCACTGTGCTTGTGTGAGAAACAGCAGTCGCCCCTCCCAGCACACTCCCCAACCCAGTCACCTGCTTTAGTTTCTCTTCTTGGCACTTACTGTGAGTCTACTTGTAATATACTTATTTAAGTTTTGGTTGTCTGTGTCCTGGCTTCATGATGGCAAGGAGCTGGACTTTTTTGTTTAACCGTGGTGAGCATGTGCCAGGCATCGCAGGTGCTCAGTAAATACTGAAGAAATCAAACATGTATGGGGGGTCTTCTATATGTCAGGCACTGGAAATGCTAATATATCAATGAAACTGAGTCCCTGGCCCCAGGACTGGCAGGAAGATGCCCAAGCAAGCAGATAGTAGTCCTGTGCCCCAACTGCCAGTACGGTGGCACACTGAGGGTAGAATCACTTGGGTGGGGGCCAGGAAGGCTTCCTGGGGGAGGGAGCCCCTTAAGCTTAGTTCTCAAGAATGGGTTGAGGATGTCCTGGTGAAGAAGATGAAGGGAAATATGCTTCACCTTGAATAGCAGCTGTCCCTCTAGCAAGGTCACCTGCCTCCCCATTCCCCATCCCCCATCCCTCAAGCTTGCTTCAATCATATCAATCATATTGCCTGTCTGGGCCCTGTAGGCATTTGAATAGTTTTAGCCCTGGACTATTTTATTTTTTCATTTCTTCCACCTATAATGTTGCGAGTTGGAAATATATATATATAATGTGGGGGAAATGGAAAAAGTAATAGATATGTTTAAGAGCTCCTATGCACTGTATTCTAAGTATTTTACATATATGATATGACATAATCTTTAAAACAACTGTTTGACATCAGTACTATTTCTATTACCCCCAAGTTACACGTGAGGAACAAAAGCCTAGAGAAGCTAATTTGCCCAGAGTCATAGGGCAGCTCAGTGGTAAATCAGGATTTGAGCCCAACATTCTGACTCCAGAGCTAATGCTCTAAACCACTAAGATCTTCAATGGGAAGATCAGTGAATTTTGGAGAAAGGCTGGTTGGTTCTAGGTTTATGGGAGGATAACGGTCAGTAATCATCATGGACAAGAAGGGGATGAAGATAACTAAGATACGTGGTACCCTAGGTAGAGTAGTGAGGATCCTTGGCTGTTGTGAATTTCCACACCAAGCATCAAACCACCAGAAGGAGAGACCCAATGTAGTCCTAGTGGCACGAAACACTGAGAGATAGAGTACTAAGGCCTTGGAAAGGATTTAAGAATTAAGGGAAGAATGGCATCCAGAGTGCCAGCTCGGGGGTGGGGGAGGGTGGCACAGTAAGGCCAGACATGTGCTAGTTCGTTTCTTCTGCCAAGAAGCTGTGAGAGAAAACTCAGAATTTGGACTGGAGGCCACGTAGGCGAGATATTGCTGTACCTCTGTCAAATCCCGTTTACAAACTATGATGAGCAAGTTGTTTTTGTAAGACTATCCAGAGTGCCACCGGGCAATGGAGCTACCAGGAGGGCTTGACGACTTTTTGAAATTTCCGGTTGACTAACTGTGGATAGCTAAAATATATAACACATTTTAATAAAATATGGAAAAAGTTAAAAAAAAAAAGTAGAAGAGGAAGGGATTTCTAGGTAGAGGGAACAGCATGTGCAAAGGCCCAGAAGCCTGAAAGAGCCCTGACCGCCCTTTAGGAGAACCCAGGTAGTTGGTGCAAGGGAGCGAGGAGGAGGTTTGGGTCCTGAGAGGAGGCCCAGGCAGAGCTTTAAGGACCTTGATTGCCTGCCAGGGGACCCCTGATGGGTCCGGAGAGCTGTTCCTCTCACTGTCTCCTTTCCTGTTTCCTCTGTTCCAAGGGCTGGGGGGGGAGAAAGGGGGGCAGGAAGGTGCCTCAATATATATTAAACCAAATTCCAGCTCAGTTGGGCCTGAAATTTCATCAGCGATGAGCAAAAAGGAAAAAGTGCCCCAGATCTTATCATTCAGAAATAACCACTGTTTATTATGGTTTAGTCTTTCAAAAAATTTTTTTAAACAAGATAAGCCCAGCCAGTATGGCTCAATGGTTGAGTGTCGACCTATGAACCAGGAGGTCACAGTTCAATTCCCAGTCAGGGCACATGCCCGGGTGGCAGAGTCGATCCCCAGTGTGGGGTGTGCAGGAGGCAGCCAATCAATGGTTCTCCCTCATCATTGACGTTTCTATCTCCCTCTCCCTTTCCCTTCCTCTCTGAAATCAATAAACATATATTTTTAAAAATTTTTAAAACAAGACATCTTGTTTTCGTTTTGTTTACAGAGATTTTAGTTGTTATGATTATAAAAGCAAAAGAAAGAATGGTCACTGTGGGAAGAGTAGAAGAGGTGGGTGAGGAAAGGAATGAGAAGAGCGATGGCCCCAGGCTCGCCTGGTGAGCAGCAGGGTTAACAGGTGGGCATCTCCTTTGTGTCTTTGTTGCAATTTCCCTGTCTCTTCTTTGCTATTTCCCTCTCCCCTTTAGTGTCTGACATAAAATAAAACTCCAAAGTTTTTTTCTTCCCTGTTTTGGGCCAAATTAGAAAACACAGACAAGCAAATAAATGAATACAAATAAAAAGAAAGAAAAACAATCCACAGTCACCTGTCTGTTTCCGAGCCCATAGATCTAAGTCTGTCTCCTTCCTTCCCTCTCCCTCTGTTTTTCTTCTTTCTTCTTGTTTGTCTGGAACAGAGCTGGGAGCCATTGGGCGAGTCAGTGGAACAAGTGGGTATCCTGCGTGCTGTTCACACAATGCCCACCTTTACCAGTGATGGTGACAGAGGCTAAGAAAGATGATGGAGGCAAACTGAGTCTTGCCACTCACTGTAGGACTGAGAATAGATTTTGAAAGGACCTTTGTCCCCCCTCTTAAAAAAAAAAAAATCCTGTGAGGCAGGGATGGGTTCCTCAATGAAGAGCGAGCTCAAGTTGTCCTGTGGAACTTTGAGATTTCCCTATGAGTAAAAAGGAGAAGGGGGGCTTCTTGTCATTGTCTTAAACAGGAATACAGACACCTCAGATGATTTTTTAAATTATTGATTTCAGAGAAGGGAGCGGGAGAGAGAGGGAAAAATAACCATGATGAGAATCATAGATCGGCTGTCACCTGCAGACTCCACAGTGGGGATCGAGCCTGCAACCTGGGCCTGTGACCTGAATGGGAATCAAACAGTGACCTCCGGTTCATAGGTCAATGCTCAACCACTGTGCCATGCCGACCAGGCTCTCAGATTCTTTTAACAACCTTCTCCCATCTGCCCAGGGAGGAAATGGATGGGATCATGGGTGGGACACACCCAGTTTGTCTATGGTGGGGCACTGGGGCAATCAAATGAAGAGGATCCAGGGGAGCATGCTGCTACCAGGCAGCCAGTGGTCTGTGTCAGCAGAGCCTGGACCTCGGACCCCCCTGCACCACCTTGTCCCACCCACCAACATTCAATAGGAATCCCCCACCCACTCCCCTCCTGCCATGCTCTGTAGATGCTGTGCTGGGCTCCAGGAGACCCAACAAACTGACATATGGTCTGTCCTCAAGAACTGAAAACATTGCTTATTCCTGTCTTCACTCTGCCTCCTGCCCCTTTTGATTGGGGCCTGCTATTATTATTTAAGTTTAAAATATGAACCACTGTTCCTTCTGGAAGCTTTGCAATATTTTAATCAAAGTTTAAAAATGTTTTGTCCAGTACTATGAAGTACATAGCTTATGAAGCCACACAGGGTGGCTCATGTCCCTCCCATAATTAACTGAAGGAATTTAATCAAGGGGTTGATTATGTAAATGGTAGGAGAGCAACTCAGAGGTAGGCAACTGCAGGCTGCTGCTGCCACGCCCAGCCTGAACCCACAGATGGGAGGCAGTGCAGTTGGGGCCCAGGCCTGGGTAGCGGGAGCACACGCTAGGTTTACGGAAGAGATGTGGCCACTGCTAGATGCTGCCCAAGAGAGAGGAGAGAGGCAAAGTGGAGAAAGGGCTTCCTTCTCCAGTGGCTTCTCTCCCCAGTCTCCTACCAGTGTCTTCCATCAACTAAACCCGAGTTTCTCAGCCTTTTAAAAGAATTATTGTCCCTACCCCAAAAGACTTTACAGACATTTGTTTTCCTAATAGCCCCTCCCCCATATGATTTCAGAACACAGATACACTGTATATCTGTTTATGTAGTTTGTAGTGTGCTTTATACATACAAAAATAAGACTTTTTTCACACAGTCCCCACCAAGAACCAATTTTTGCCTTTTGGGAGGTGAGCTGGCCCCAGCTGGAAATAGATGGAAGACAGGGAGCTAGCTGGAAGCCAGCTGCATGGAGACCTGAGACACTGCCCACAGAGATCAGCTGTGCTGCAGAATCGAGGTGAGCATGGGAGGGAAAGGGGTGGGTTGCATCATGCAGGCCTGGAACTGTCTTTTGTCCGTCCTCTCCCTTTGTGATTATTTGACTAGAAGTCATTTCCCATTAGAAATGTGAGGGCTCAGCTCCCACATTTCTGATGGGAAATGACCTCCAGCTTCCAGTTCCTGGTTGAGCACCCCATGCAGTTCTGATTCCTGTGGAGGCCCCAGGCAAGCTGCCCCATGAAGTCCCACAATGGCACATTGATTATTTCAAACTAAAATCTACAGAGCTCTAGCCAGTTTTGCTCAGTGGATAGAGCATCGGCCTGTGGACTGAAGGGTCCTGGGTTCCGGTCAAGGGCACATCTTGGGTTGCGGGCTTGATCTCCGGTAGGAAGCATGCAGGAGGAAGCCAAGCAAGGATTCTCTGTCGTCATTGATGATTCTCTCTCTCCCTCTCCCTTCCTCTCTGAAATCAATATTGTTATATTTTAAAAAGAAAAAAGAAAACTCCCACACTCTGCAGAACACACAGCAGCTCCTCCTGAAGCACATACTGGGGTGCTGCTTAAGATTTTGCTTGAAGAACATATTCTGTGACCAAAACTTCATGATCTCAATAGTCCCTCCCTACGGAGGACCTCTCTGACACTGCTCTGTCCTCCTAAAAGCAGGAAATAACTGCATCATGGGTGCCCTCCCAGGAGTGGGAGGCCCAGAGACACCTTATCAGTTAGAAAATCTAGAGTCAGAAAAGCTTGCCTAAACAAACCCTGTAATAATGCCTTCACTCACTGACTGCCCAAGCCCCAATCGTGTTTAGATTTCTCACCAGGGAATGCCCACACCTTGCTTAGATTCCTTTCTCATGAGCACTACTTTCTTTGTCCTGTCAGCTTCTCACAAATGTATTTCTTGTTTCTTTGTTTAAACAAATATAAATATGCCTGGTTCAATCATCTCTTGGAGCCTCATTTCATGATCTGAACATCCTATATGATTACTCCTTGTGCAGCTATTAACTTGTTTTTTCCCCTGTTCATGTAGTCTCGTGTCGATTTTATTACTTTATTTTTTAAAAATATTTTTTATTGATTTCATAAAGGAGGGGAGAGATAGAAATGTCAATGATGAGAGAGAATCATTAATCGGCTGCCTCTTGCACAGCCCCTACTGGGGATCAAACCCACAACCTGGGCATTTGCCCTGACCTGGAATTGAACCATGACCTCCTGGTTCATAGGTTGACACTCAACCCCTGAGCCACACTGGCCGGGCTATTTTATTACTTTACTAGTATAACTACTTCAAATATAAGAACTAAAGAAGGGTAGTGAGGGTAATTCTCCTCTGCTCCCTAATATTCCCAATAGGGATGCTTTTACAATTTTCTTTTTAACCCTTTTGTTCTGAAATTTCATGACAATAAGCCTTTTTAAAAAGCAATTATAATTAACATAGAGTGTGTTATGTAAGTATCAGAGTGAGCTCTTCATTAAGACCCAGTTTGGGGCTCTTCAAAGGACGGCCAACAAGTATTCGAGAATCGGTGCCACGGGATCTTTCAGGCTGCCTCTCAGAACCACAGGGGGTCACCCCTAGCCATGTGCTTGAGAAATGCATGGTCCGGACAACATGCACCAGAAGAGGAACAGATGTCATCACGGACAGCTTTGCAGAGCCTGAGGTTGAGGCCTGCTATTGACCTCGCTCAACACTGAGTTCAGTTGGTGCTTGGGCCTGGAAGGGCGGTGTGATGAGGGCTACAGGCTGACAGCGTCACCTGTTACAGACTCAGGGGGACTTGGGAGAAGTTCAGAAATGACCCAGAGCTCCACTTCCTGTTTACAGATGAGGATACTGCTGGATTGAGTAGGATTTCTCCAAGGCCACAGCGCTGGATTGAGAGTCATGGTAAGTCATGATCTCTTGGCCTCTGGTCCCTCCTGTATTCAGGTTTAGCTCCTTTTTTAAATAATGAATATCATTAACATCATCAATATGATAGCAGCAATGATACCACAATAGCTTTTGTTCGCTCAGTTCCTGCCACAGCTTATCCTTGTGGGATATTTTTCATGCACAGACTTGACAAGTATTTTGGCCGAGTATTTTCAGGACAGAGAGCAGAGGCTCTTTTCTATGCATTATGGGTCAATTTTTCAGATGTAGCACTTTTTGAATCTGTAACGGAGAAGTTTGGTCAAAAAATGCCCATTCAACACATATTGTTGCTTCAATGACATTTGGAGGCACTGGGTGGCACTACGTATATATAGAGAAAAAGCCAATTCCTGCCCTCGAGAAAGTCTCAGTGTAGAGAAAATGGAAGACTAAGAGGTAGGTGGTTACCACACAGCAGGTCATGTGCAGGATAGAGCTAATCACAGGGTGGGGTCCTGTGGGAGCACAGCAAGGGGGCGGGGGAGGTGGTCAAGAGGAGATGTCCCTGAACTTTGCCTGTAGGGATGAAATTCACCAGGTGAAGGGGTTGGGAGTGGGCAGGTGGAAAGGTGGTGATGGTGGTGGGAGCCCTGAGGCCATTCCAGGAAGGTGGTGATGGTGGTGGGAGCCCTGAGGCCATTCCAGGAAGGTGGTGATGGTGGTGGGAGCCCTGAGGCCATTCCAGGAAGGTGGTGATGGTGGTGGGAGCCCTGAGGCCATTCCAGGAAGGTGGTGATGGTGGTGGGAGCCCTGAGGCCATTCCAGGAAGGTGGTGATGGTGGTGGGAGCCCTGAGGCCATTCCAGGAAGAGGAACTCCCTTGTGAAAACCCCAGTGACTGCTGCCTTTTTTGTGCCCTCGTCCAGCCACACCCTATACACTGAGGTTTGGGATAAATACTTGTTGGATGGATGAATGATCAAACACAAATTTGATTTGAAGACTGACCTCCAGGCACATCCTCATGCTTGTTGAGTTGTGTTGCATTTGATGTTGTCGGAGGAGCTGCGAGTGAGCCCGGCGGACCCAGGGAGACACTGGGGTTGCCTGACCCAGCTGAATCTGGGGCAGGAAGACTTGGCCAGACTTCTCCAGCCAAACGAATTTTAATGTTAATTGGCATCTGAATGTTGGAGGAAAAATTCTTGCAAAGCCAGTCCCAGGTGTGGTATGAAGCCCGGGGAAGGGTGGGGCAGGTGGGGTACTGCAGAGTTCTTGCCTCTGACTGGTGTCATGCCCAGGAGGGGATGTGAGTGTAGGTCATAAGTGTCCTCTGCCAGCTTGGCCTCCACCTTGATGAGTTCTCTCTCTCTTCCAACTTTTGGAGATTCCTAGCATTCACTGGTTTGTAGGCGGCATCACTCCAATCTCTGTGTTTCTTTGTCCTCACCTTTTATAAAGACATTAGTCATTGGATGTAGGGCTCATTTTCAATCAAGAATGATTTTGCCCTAGCCGGTTTGGCTCAGTGGGTAGAGCATCGTGTGAACTGAAGGGTCACAGGTTTGAATCCAGTCAAGGGCACATGCCTGGGGTGTGGGCTTGATCCCCAGTTTGGCGGGGGAGGGGAGATGCAGGAGGCAGCCAATCAATAATTCTTTCTCATCATTGATGTTTCAATCTCTCTCTTCTTCCTCTCTGAAATCAATAAAAATATATTTTTTTATAAAATAATGATTTCATCTCGAGATCCTTTACTAATTACAGCTTCAAAGACTCTATTTCTAAAAAAAAAAGTCATATTATGAGGCTCTGCATGGATGTGAATTTTGGGGGAACACTATTACTAAACTATGCAAAAGTAATTTTTAAAAGAAAAATATAGCTGTTATGAAATAACATTTCACAAACATTGCAAACAAACAACAACAATAATTCTTTTAAAGTTAGCATTTCTAGGTTAAGCAAGCAGGAAGACAATAGAAATCCATTCTATAAACAAATGGCTCAACACCATTTACCCGTCTCAGAGGAAGAAGAGAGCTGAGAGTGAATGAAATATATTAAAAACCCATTGAGCATAAACAGGCAGTTGAATGGGCTCACATTATATTAACAGAGACCAATGAACTAGTTTTATGCTGAGTTTGTGTTGTGTAAATGGCTGTTTCTGTGCCCACATCTAAGAGTGGCTCAGGAGGCCTTTGCTGTAACAGTGATGAGCTCACAGCTTGGGATTGGGGACATGGCATTTTAAGAAGAAGAATTGAGTAAAAGTGTTTGGATAGTGCTCAGTCTGCTCAGACTTCCATGATGTTTAGACTGGGTGGCTAAACAACAGAAACTTATCCTATATAATAAAAGGCTAATATGCATATCGACTGAATGGTGGAACGACTGGTTGCTATGACATGCACTGATCACCAGGGGGCAGACGCTCAATGCAGGAGCTGCCCCCTGGTGGTCAGTGCACTATCACGGGGGAGCGCTGCTCAGCCAGAAGCCGGGCCCATGGCTGGCACAGCAGCGGTGTGGGCCTAAGCTGGCAGTTGGACATCCTCTGAGGGCTCCCAGACTGTGAGAGGGCACAGGCCCGGCTGAGGGACCCCGTCCCTCCAATGCACATATTTTGTGCACTGGGCCTCTAGATTCTTATAGTTCTGGAGACTGGGAAGTCCAAGATCAAAGTGCCTGCTGATTCAGTTCCTGGTGAGCTCTGTCTTACTTACAGATGGCTGACTTCTCACTGTGTCCTCACATGGCAGAGGGGACGGGAGAAAGAGGGAGAGAGAGAGAGAGAGAGAGAGAGAGAGAGAGAGAGAGAGAGAGAGAGAGAGAGAGAGAGAGAGAAAGAAAGAGGGGGAGAGAGAGAGAGAGAACATGATCTCTCTGATGTTTCTTCTTAAAAGGGACACTAATCCTACTGGATCAGAGCTCCCCCTTATGACCTCACTTGACCTTAATTACTTCTTTACTCCAAATACAGACACGCTAGGGTTAGAACTTCAGCATATAAATTTTAGAGGAACATAATTCAGTCCATAGCAGGTATTTTAAATCAACGTTGGTAAAGAGGCATGATATAAGACTCTGGTATGGATTCTGAATCAGGCAGAATTTAAGATATTTTGGACACAATTATAAGGAACCCTAGTTTAATCATTTAACAAACCATGTCCTGGCTTGGGTCCTGGAGATGAACAACAAGATATTAATTCATGTGAATAGGAGGTACTTCCTCTTAAAATCTTTGAGGTTAAAAAGAAACAAACATCCCTTCAAGAAGAGTACTTGGGGACGTGAGGGCCCAGAGCCAGACCTCCCAGCTCCAGCACTCAGCAGCTGCCTCCCTCCCATCTTTCAGGCTTCAGTTTCCTCAACTGTAAAATGGGATTATAATAGTTCTCCTTGGGTTGCCAGGGAATTAAATGGTATGAGATCTGTGGCTATTATTATTATCAATAACAAAAAAAACCCATGCATAGAGGAAATTTTGCCCAATGCTCAGCAAAGCTGTTGAAAGGATTACGAAGCAGGTGATTTCTGGCAGAGAGAGAGGGACACACACACACACACACACACACACACACACACACACAGAAAGGCAGAGCTGCCCAATTTAGGAACAATAGCCAGCTTGCTTTCTTGGCTGAGCATGGAATGCAATTATTCCCTCACTTCACAAACATTTGAAATTTATGCTCTAGGAATAAAAGAAGTGAGAGGAATTTGTACCCATTTGAAAAGCTAATGGGTAATGTTTCACTGTAACGAAGAAGGAGGACAACCTTGACTGGGAATCTATACTGCGGAGCTTACAGCTTGGCTCACCTCACACTTGCCAGAGCCCCACTTAGGGCCTCGAAGGGAGCACACACTGGCTCCGGGGTAGCATCATACACATATTGGAGTCTTCCACTCTGGGCTCCTTGAGGAGAGCTTTTGTGCATTTTCTCATAAAAAGAACGTGGCGATGTCTCACTTAATGGACGGATTAAGGACTCATTTTAGAGAAAAACAAGGGGGACTAGAGAAACAGCTGAAGCATCTGTTTTTTAACCTGTTTACAGAGCAGGAGAGAATAGCCTATAAGATATATTTCTTCACTAGGAGGAAAAATATGACTGAGTTTTGACTTAGAATGTCCTTGTGTTGGGATAAAATAGTAGCCTTCACACTTAATGTCTCTTGACTTCCCTCCTCTCTCTCCACTTTTATTTATTTTTTAACCTAAATTGTATGAAGGGCATTGAGCAAGAGCTAAGCGGGAGATGACATCAGGGAGGCTGGTTGGGACCAAGCTGTGCAAGGACCTCGAAAGCCAGAGTGGGTTTCTCCTTACCTCTGTACACAATGGAGACACATGGACTCTTCCTGGGCAGGAGGCAGCACGCATCGCAGTGGCAGGAGTCTGGGAATCTCCTTCCATTAGCAAGGTGGCCTCTGGATGGCACCAGACTTCTTTACAGAAGGAGAACGAGGTGCTTCTGGAAAGCTGGGAAGTCCTGTGCGCTGGAGGAGTTCATAAATTACAAGACTGGTTTTAGTCCGCTCACTCACCCGAGTTCCGTTTGGGAAAAACTAACCAGGCCAAGGGATGAAGGCTGAGTTGGAGTGGGAACCCAGAGGACCTGGGGCAACCTCCTGGCAGGCCATCGCCGTGGTCATGGACAGAGACTGCTGAGGAGGACAGGAGGGTGGATGGGAATAATGTTGCAAGAATAGAGGGAGAGTCCATGTGACCTAAGATCACTTGGGATGGGGGGACGGGGGCGGGCAGAAAGACAGCAGAGTCCCTCCAGGTTTCGGGGTGGGTGAGGAGGATTATAAGCTACAATGCCAAGTGCATGGGACAAAGAGGAGCAGTAGGTCTGGAGTCCAAGGGGATGTGTTCATTTGGGGCTGTGTTGAGGTGAAAGTGTCTTGAGATGGCAGGCAAAATGGACAAAGGGAAAAGCTCCGGGAGTAATTAGTGAGGGGGAGGAGAAGGTGGTGATGGCTAGGGTTGAGGGAGAGACTAGAGTCCCTGAAAAAG